AATTACCCTAATAATCATAATTATTAGCCATCACACAGATATTTACACCAGGGATGACATCATAGTGATGGGGATGGTCATATGGGGGGTGGGGTCATAAACAGTCTGATAAAGACATAAATGTACCGACTCTAAAATCTGCTGACAATAGCTGGACCATTTCTGTATTATTGAGGAGAAAAGATCCTCCGATCCCTGGAGATTTTCCTGCAAGTCGTCCTGACCTGACTGAGGAAAAAGACAGGTAAGAGCCTTCCTTTTCTCAGAAAAAATCTGCCCATCTATTACCAGCTTTACTCTCCCATTATTTACCCCGAGATCTACAAGCTATCCATAGCCAGGAGCAGGGGCGGACTGACAACTCATGGGGCCCCTGTGTCCTTGCCAAACTAAAAAAAAAAAGCCTATGAAAAAGGTACCAGGGACATCTCATGGGCCCCCCTACTGACCCCGGGCCCTCGGGCAGTGCCTGATTTTCCAAATGGCAAGTCTGCCCCTGGCCAGGAGCACAGATGTCACACACACCACCCACAGCTAGTTGCATAGATGTCCTTACCACCCATAGTAATGTGCACAGATGTACAACACCACCTGTAGCCAAGTACATGGATGTCACACCTCGCCCATAGCCAGGTGCATAGACATTCCATGCCACCTATAGACTGACACACAGCTGTTTCATTCCACCCAGAGCTAGTTGCACATACATCACACAACACTGATATTCTGGTTCAAAGATGTCCCCAACAGCCCAGAGCCAGGTGCATAGACATTCCATGCCACCCATAGCCAAGTGCACAGCTGTCACACATCTCTCATAGCCAGTTGCATAGATGTCACATACCACCCATAGCCAGGTGAACAGATGCCATACAAAATCCATAACCAGGTGCACAGATGTCCTAAATTACCCATAATCTGGTGTACAAACATTCCAAGCCATCCATTGCCATGTGCATAGACATTCCATGCCTCCCATAGCCAGGAGCACAGATGTCAAACACCTCTCATAGCCAATTGTACTGATGTCACACAACACTCAATACCCCAAATGTAAAAATGTCCCATGCCAACCATAGCCAGGTGCAGAGACATTCCACACTGCCCATCATAAGGTGCACAGATGTCATACTATGTCCATAACCAGGTACAAAGATGTCCCAAGTTACCCATAGCCAGATGCATAGACATTCCAAGCCACCCATTACCAGGTACGCAAATGTCCCATACTACTCATAGCCAAGTGCACAGACATCATATACTGCTCATAGTCAGGGGCCCCCAGATCCCAGCCCTCCATGTGAATGATTAGGAGTACATAGGACCCCTACTCATTCACCCCCCCCCCCAAAAGTTCAACGTAAATCAAAATGCATAGCCAGTTTTTTACTTAGTTTATTTAGCGCCTCCTGCTAAATAAGCGAAGGGGCGGAGTGACCCAATTATGTCACTGGGTGACCCCTCCCCTTATGATGTCATTGAATAGAGCACGTTGGGTTGATGACATCATAAGGGTCTTGGTCATCCACTGACATTATTGGGTCACCCCACCCCTTAGCTAATTGAGCGGCAGAAGGAGTGGGAGCCAAGTGTCGGTGCGGGTCGGATTTGTATTTTTTTGGGTCGGCAGCTGTCATTCATGATTGACATTTCATCAGTCTTGGGGGACTTTTTTTGAATAAAAGACTGGTCAAAAACTGTGTTTTTATTTACTTTGAACTTTTTTAGTGTACGAGGAGGAGTACTATGTACCCCATACTTATGGGGACCAGGATTTGGGGGCTTCCAGATTCCAATAAGTCCCCTGCCCACAGACCTGCACAACCACCAGGCCCAGGTTGTGGGAAAGAGGCCGTTGTCCTCCTCATCATGGGGAAAAGGTGATTTGGGGGAACCCCCTGTCCAAAGCATCTTCCCATGGCCTGGTATGGATCAGGAAGGGGGTACTTGCTCATCCCCCCATTTCCTGGCTTGTTGGGCTGCATGGTCAGGTAAGGATCTGGAATGCATCAGATCCTTTTGGGGGCACCCTACACCTTTTTTTTTTTTTTTTTAACATTTTTGACATTGCAAGAATTTCCTTTAAAATCCATACCAGACCTGAAGGGCCTGGCATGGATTGGGGGGGACCCCATGCTGTTTTTTTCTTAATTTTTTAAATATCAGCAATTTTTTAGTTTACATTCTGCTGTCAGTGGGAAAGCTCACTGACAACAAAGGAGTCATGGTTGTTAAGGATGCAGCGGTCGTCTACTCCTTAACAACCATCATTTTTTACTGGTTGTTAAGGATGCCGATGAGTGCCGCCTCCTTGCTATCACATGCCTGGACCACTTCTTATTTACCGCATTTATTTATTTTTTTATTTCCTTTAGTAAATTGACTTGAACACCATTTTATGCAGTATTTACCGAGCTTGTTTGGTGAGTGAATTAACATTTTCAGCTTCTTATTCAGTATTTGGGAAAAATGTGTCAGATCACCTTAATACCGCATGTGATCTGCTTTAGTGAATGGAGCCCACTGGGTCCAGATCTGGAGATCTGACTTACAAAAAGATATTGATGAGATAGAACGAGTCCAGAGCTGGGGAACACAAATGGTGAAAGGTCTGAGGGATCAAACATATCAGGAGAGACTGCAGGAACTTCATGTGTACAGTCTGGAGGAAAGAAGGGAAAGGATGGACATGACCAAAAACCTTTCAGTACATCAAGAGGGGGAATAAGGTTCTGGAGGGCAGGATGTTCAGTATGAAGCCAAGATGAAGAACACGGGACATGACCTCCAACTGACTGGAGGAAAGTTCCCAACTCATCTTAGAAAGTCATATTTTCCTGAAAGGGTAGTTGATGGTTGGAATAGACCTCCAGCAGAGGTAGTGAGTCAGTCAGCAGTAAGTGGCTTCAGACAGACATGCTTGGGGGAAACATGGATCTAAAATATAGATGTGTCAGACTCGATGGAGCACTTGGTCTTTTTTCTGCTGTCACTTATCTTTGTTTTTGTTTCTTGTGTGTCTCATATGATGTGTATCAGTATAGTGTTGCTGGTTGTGATGTAGTGGTTGGTATTGTGTTGGGGGATGTGGGCAGGTAATGTAAATTGTCACTTTGAGGTTGAATTCCTAAACCTGGAGAGTCCAGAATCTGGTGCAGCTCTGCATAGAAACCAATCAGCTTCCAGGTTTCTGTCAAAGCTTCATTGATCCAGCTGAAGGTAGAAGCTGATTGGCTCCCATGCACAGCTGCAGCAGATTTTGCACCCTCCAGTGTTAGGAAATCTCCCCCTTTGTGGTGTAGAAATGACTTTGAGGATAGTCCTCTTTTGCCCCCTTGCTGTTTTGTGGTGAGTGGTGACATCCCAGCAGAGTGACGATGGACGACCCATGCTCAGTCACAGCGGATCCACATTTCATTCATTCTCTGTAATGAGCGGTTCTGGAACAATTGTCAGTCCAGGGAGCAGTGGGCGGAGTGATCCCTCCCTCCTGACTGGCTCCACCCTCAGCAGACCTCCTATATAAGAAGAAGTAGAAGAGCAGCTGATCACAAGTGTCTCTGATAAGGAAGCAGGATGGCAGATAATGTGAGTATGAGCACTGGTGGAAGCTGCAAGAGCTGAGCAAATGGCTTCTGTGGGGGATGGTGGGTGTAGTGTGGTGGGGGTAATGGTGAGTATTGGTTTGCTTGGTGTGGACACAAGTTGGTGTCGGGCTGGTTTGATGTTGGTGGTGGAGGTATATGTATGAGCACTGGTGGAAGCTGCTGCAAGAGCTGAGCAAATGGTTTCTGTGGGGGATTTGTGTTTGGTGTAGTGTGTTTGGTGGGCTGAGGTGGGCATAGTGGGGTGTAGTGGTTTTTGGGGGGCTGAGGGGGGGTGGGTGTAGTGTTTGGGGGGGCTTGGTGAGGACGGCGGTGGTCAGGGGCGGGTGTATGGGCCCCTGTGGGGGGCTGAGGACTTGCCAAATGCAAAAAAGCCTATGTAAAAGTAGTGTATTTGGGGGGCCCCCTGACTGACCCTGGGCGGTGGGGTGCCTAGTTTTTGGGGGGCTGAGGACGGCTGGTGATGGGTGTAGTGTTGGTGGTGGGATGCTGATGGCTCTAGTGTTTGCTGGATGTTGGCAGTGGTTGGATGGTTAAGGTGTGTTGCCATTTGGTTGGATGGCCATTGATATGTCAGGGGGTTTAGTTGCTGGGTTTGGTGGTGATGGGTATAGTTTGGTATAGGTTATGGTATTAGTTTTTTTGTGGTGGGGGTTTTGCCTGTTTAGGGTGTGATGAATGCATTTTGCTGTCTGGCACAGAGCTTGGTCTGCCACTGGAGCTTGGTCTGCCTATTCCTGGGTATTTTAGTATTGGGTATATACTGGTATGACTCCAATGCTCATTTCCTTCACAATTACTCTTAGTGACTCATTGTTTCCATCCCCCCCCCCCCCTTTTTTTTTTTATGTATATGTGATTATATATTTTTTTTTTTCTGTGCAGTTTCATAAATGGTCCTATTCTGAGGTGACATGTTCATCCATTGTGCCAGATAATTTGTTTCTATGCAGGATGGAAGCTGGGGGTGGGAAGGGGGTAGGGGGGGGGGACACTCCAGACCAATCAGACATTTTGATGTACTCTTGACAAACTAACATGCTGACCAGAATTCAATTCATACTGTACATACCAAGTACTACATTACTAAACATGAATGCTGGGCACGGTCAGTAATTGGCACATCCGGCTGTCTGTAGATGGGACTATAACTTGTATAAAGCTCTGGGCAGCCGGCATACATGACATGACCATTGTAAGTGAAAATGTATATATTGTCATTGATCTGTCAGACATTTGTGATCTGCTGGGGATGTCTGAGCTCCCTCCACTCTCCCACACAAAGGAGTCAACAAATGGCTGTGTGACACACAAATCCCAAATATATTCTGAGTTCAGTAGCTGCAACCATGAGATCTCTTCTGTCTATAATCGGTGTAATAATTCTCTCCTCCCATACAGACTGTTACCTTTAATAACCTCGGCCTCAAACCTGGTCACTCCGTGGAGGTGGAGGGCTTCATTCCGGTGGACTGTAAAGAGTAAGTCATGTTTCTCCCCTCAGCTACTTATTATATATATAGATCTGCTCTCTGTATATAATAATTTGCCAAAAGTGAACTTAACTTCCAAAAGTAGAAAAGTGTGCTGTGTGTACAGAACATCCTACTGATCCCTCCTCGCTGGGGTTTTGCCATGCGTGGTCTTATACCTGACTGTTCAAGTGTTTGACCTAAACTTGCTCTGACATTTTTCTTTCTGGACCCCAACAAAACTTATAGCTGCAGGCACTGTGGAGGAATTTTAACCTCAAATTAATAGCAGAAATAGCACTTCATCACTACTTTACCCACGTACTTGGAGGTCCAACACCCCTGGAATGGCAACAGAGCATGAAAGGGCACAAAAGTAGTGACTTCTCAGCTCTTCCATCTCCTAGCAGGGACTCAGCAGCTCAGCTCACCTTCTCAGCTTTAACTGGATAGTTCAGCTCCCCTCCTAGTGGTGACTCCTTGGCCCAATTCACCCTTCACCCACAGCAGTGACTCGGCAGCTTGGATCACCCTTCCTCCCACACAGTAGTAGGATGGGAGCACAGAGCTTAGAACAGACATGAATGACTTCAGTTTCTCTTGAAAATTTTCAGGATGAATTGTTCCACAGTGGCTGCAACTACAAATGTCAGTGAGGGATTGTCTCAAAGCTTAATTACTGCTTGTTAAAATATATAGACAACAGTATATCTGTCTATATCCAGGCTACAGGTCCACTTTAGGTGCTTTTGGTACAGTGATGTATTACCAGGACCCCATGTCTTTCAAGAAAACCTTTAGTTTAAGTCTCCAAAAATATTAGCTGACCTAATTTATTAGGTGGCAGAAGTACCTCTGAAACCCATGGGGTGTACCACCAATGATGAATTACTCGAGTACTACATCCAACAAGGTCAGCTGAGCAGAATTGCCTTTCTGTCTTTCTAGGTTTGCCATCATCTGGGAACAGATGAGAAGAATCTTGTGCTACACTTTAGTCCTCGATTTGACTATGAAGGAGTCCAGCTCATGATAGTCATGAACTCAATGGTGGACAATGTTTGGGGAGAAGAGCAGGAGGGAAAGTTTCTTCCCCTTCCAGAAGGGATCGGACACATGGTACGTCTACACTGGGAGGGGCAGGACAAATGTTGGATGGGCAAAGTGGCATCATTGGACACATAATATCCATCTCTGAAAGATACAGTAGGCAGTCAGTGATGGCTTACATCAAGGATATGTAGACTCTGATGCTTGCCCCTTCAGCTCCTTCCATGAAGGATGGGAACATCCCAGATGGGAAGATCTAATGGATTCTGTCATGCTGCATTTGTGAGCTATGATATACTGCCTAGTGAATGGGTTGTCAGATTAATTTGTTGGAAAAACGCACAGAAAAAAAAATGTTAATGAGAAATTTTTTGTGTCATTAAAAATGAGATTTTGGTGAGATTATAGGAAGAGGGAATGGGGATACAGTAATCTGACATGGAATGTCACCTTGTAAAGGCTCAATCTGGGGAGTAGGGGGGGGGGGGGGGCTGGCTGGTCACTTGTATGTGCCCAGAATAATGGTATTCTCATTTTCCCCAAGTCCCATCATGGTAGATGGGACCCTTGTCCAAGGACATATGAACTGCAGATCTCAGTATTGATAACTGAGGCATAACCTTCCTTTGCTATAAACATGAAATGTTAAGCCCTGCCCCCTAGGATTCACTGTCAAAATGCCAGAGCCCCAGTGCACAGCTTGAGTCATGGCACTTTCACATTGCTAAGCATGTACACTACATGGCAATGATATGTGGCTTACAGAAGCCTCTCAACCTGTTGCCCCAGAGGAACCCTTGAGGTTTTTAGGTCTTTGAGAACCCCTACTACCAATTCATTGGTAGTGAGTAGTGGCAATGCCCCTTACATTGGTGGTAAGAATGTCCCTCTTACAGCAGTGGTCAAAATGCCACTTACAAGCCTGTGAAAAGTTCATTGGCATCATGAAGCTGGCCCCCAAAATAAGCAGGCACCATCAAATGGGGTGTTAATCAGCCAAAGCTGAAGGAACCTTGGTTGGCAGACCAGGACTCCAAACTGGCCAACAGCTATTGATCTCCTGAGGACTCCAGTTATTCTAAGCAACAGTCAAAGACTGTTGCTAAAATTGCAACACAAGTTTGTTAATGGTTATACCAAAAATAAAAATTATAAATGGCAACACAGAATATGTGCGCACATATCTTCTGGAAAGGTTTTGGTTGGTATTTTGTATCCTCATACAGCAGCAGTCATTGACTATTTTTAATAGTCCAGCAAGCTGACACTGCCATCTTTTCTTACAGGTTTCCTTCTTGTTTGCACTAGACAAGATCACCATACAATTACCTACAGGAAATCCTTTCACATTTCCAGTCCGCTTTACCATAGAGGAGATCTCCTACTTGGCTGTGAGAAACCTCCAGCTCAAGTCCATCACACTGAAATGAAGAATCCATCAATGGAGGAGCCACCTGTCCCACGTGTCCATATCCAGGCTCTGTGAAATGGCCAGAGTGGATGAAGAGGTTTTCCCTGTTTTGTAGCCGCTCCCACCTCCCTCCATGCTGCTCATATAGACAGACCTTGTGTTTTTGCTCAGATTATTTACTGTAAATGAATGTCATCCACATTTCAAATAAAATCCAATGAGCTGTATTGTTCCTGATTGTTTTGTTCTGCTCCCAACTGACTTTGTATTGATTGCTGTGGTGGATAGCATCCCTTGCCTGCTGCATAGCGCCCTCCTGCTGGAGGTTTGTTGCATTACTTTCAAAAGGCACACAGTAACCAAGAGGGTGCTAATGCTGCTTTTCCTGTATGCATTGGCTGATTTCTTGGATTTCCCATAAGACTTTCTGATATTAAATGGTTTTAAAAAAAATGATTTATCTGGCTCACACAAAGATTTCATCCCTACTATGGCCAGTTATTAAATAACAGGATGATAGCAGCACACTAACTCTAGGACCTAAAAACAGTCAAATACAATCATTAATGCCAGGTTCTTGACAATGTCAAATACACCCATTAATGCCAGTTTCTTGACAATGCACCCAATATGTTGCAATGAAAACCAGTACTGGCCACCAGCCATTCATATCCAGCTCAGCTCAGTGGGTACACTCCAGTAATTTTACACCATTATTCACCTGGAATAATCCTTGGTAAGTACTTTCTTCATGACCCCCCCCCCCCCCCCCCCCCCCCCCCCATCATACAGATTTGTGACCATTAAGGTCAAACATTAGCAACAATTTTACTTTTTGGCACCATCAAGGATCTGCTGATGCTTTGACAATTCTCCACCCATACCTCAATTCCTAAACTTGTGCATTACTGGTCATATCCATAGTCACACATCTACCAAGAGGGTGGGTGGGTGGGCCAAATTGCTCACCACACTCTGTACCTCCAGGGTTTTGTCCAACTCTGGTCACCTCCTCCCTACATCATATCCTCAAGTCATTCCCTACCCATTCTGAACCCTTCTGACTTAGCATTTATGTGGCACTTTTTATATAACTAATAGTGGTAAAATAATGCTATTTAGCCTCATGGAAAGATCTGAAGAAAGTTAAATGGAGTTTATGACTGTAGCTGTCCAAGGCAAGAGGTGTATCTGTAACCCACAAGGTCAAGGGTGCTAGTAAAACCGGCCAGATTGCTCCTCATTGTAGCTAGTGGGGTCAGGGGTATACTAGGGAGGGGTACTTTGAGTTATGACGGGGAGAACTTGGCTTCTCTGAAGGACTCTGATCAATTTGTATGAATGTTCTCAGGACTGTCTGTACATACATCTGTTCTGGGATCCAATCATTCTAATCTCCCTGGAGATCAAGTTGCTGAGGAAATTCATTTTGTATTGGAGGAGTTGGATTTTAGACCTGCACTCCTTTTTCCACAATTACACTAATGATAATTAGCCATCATCACACATATATTTACACAGGGGATGACATCATAGTGATGGGGACAGTTATATGGGGGACGGGGGTGGTAAACAGTCTGATAAATAAATGTCCTGACTCTGAAATCTGCAGATAACAGTTGGACCATTTCTGTATTAATGAGAATAGAAGATCCTCTGATCCCCAGAGATTTCCCTGCAAGTCGTCCCGACCTGAATGTCTGAGGATAAAGACAGGTGAGAGCCTTCCCTTTCTCAGGAAGAATCTGCCCGACTATTACCAGCTGTACTCTCTTCCCCCATTATATATCCCGAGACCTACAAGCTACTCATAGCCAGGAGCACAGACATTCCATACCACCCACAGCCAAGTGCACAGGCATTCTTGCCACCTAAAGTCATGTGCACAGATGTAAAACACCACCTGTAGCCATGGACACAGATGTCACACCACCCATAGCCAGGTGCACAGACTTTCCATGTCACCCATAGACTGACACACAGCTGTTTTACTCCACTCATAGCCAGGTGCACAGACATCACACAACACTGAGATACAGATGCAAAGAAGTCCAGCCCAGAGCCAGGTGCATAGATATTCCATGTCACCCATAACCAAGGGCAGAAATCTGTCAGCCAGCTGCATGGATGTCACATATCACCCATAGCCAGGTGCATATTCCAAGCCACCCATAGCCAGGTACGGGTCGGGTTCTTACTTTTTGGGTCGCCAGATGGCATTCGTGATTGATATGGGACCTACCTTAGGAGGCTTTTTTTGTTTTTGAATAAAAGACTTGTCCTATACTGGCTGTGTTTTTTTGACTTTGAAATTTGTTGTTGTATGAGTAGGTGTATTATGTACCCCATACTTATTCACGGGGAAGGCAGGGATCTGGGGGCTTCCTTGTTAAAAGGGGCTTCCAAATTTCAATAAACCCCCCACTCACAGCCCTACACAACCACCAGGTGCGTTTCTTGGAAAGGGTCAGGGACTTTGGAGTTTTTGGTTCTATAGACTTCATTGGAGATGCCACAGAAAAAAGCATGTAGTGCATTTTTGATGCATTTTGCATTTTATTCTGCCCAGGAACAAGTTGAAAAAAAGTTTAAAAAAAAGTCAAAACGCTTAAAAATGCATTAAAAATGTGTTAAAACTGCATGTGCAAAAAATGCAAAATGCATCACAAAACACACTGCAGAAACGGATCAAACACAAACTGCATAGGTGAGAGCCAAGCCTTACATAAAGATATTGATGAGATAGAACGAGTCCAGAGACGGGGAACACAAATGGTGAAAGGTCTGAGGGATCAAACATATCAGGAGAGACTGCAGGAACTTCATATGTACAGTCTGGAGGAAAGAAGGGAAAGGATGGACATGACCAAAACCTTTCAGTACATCCATGACCTCCAACTGACTGGAGGAAAGTTCCCAACTCATCTTAGAAAGTCATATTTTCCTGAAAGGGTAGTTGATGCTTGGAATAGACCTCCAGCAGAGGTAGTGAGTCAGTCAGCAGTAAGTGGCTTCAGACATGCTTGGGGCAAACATGGATCTAGACCAGGGGTGGGCAAACTTTTTGACTTGAGGGCCGCAATGGGTTCATATATTGGACCCGGGGGCCGGACCAAGAGTAGATGAATGATGTGTATGTGTCATCCATAGTAAGTATAGTAATACTCCCCCGTAGTAAGCATAGTAATTCATCCCCCATAGAGTAATTCATCCCCCATAAAGTAATTCATCCCCCATAGTAATTCATCCCCCATATAGTAATTCATCACCCATAGTAATTCATCCCCCATAGTAATTCATCCCCCATATAGTAATTCATCCCCCATAGTAATTCATCCCCCATATAGTAATTCATCCCCCATATAGTAATTCATCCCCCATAGTAATTCATCCCTCATATAGTAATTCATCCCCCATAGTAATTCATCTCCCATATAGTAATTCATCCCCCATAGTAATTCATCCCCCATAGAGTAATTCATCCCCCATAGTAATTCATCCCCCATAGTAATTCATCCCCCATAGTAATTCATCCCCCATAGTAATTCATCCCCCATAGTAATTCATCCCCCATAGAGTAATTCATCCCCCATAGTAATTCATCCCCCATAGAGTAATTCATCCCCCATAGTAATTCATCCCCCATAGTAATTCATCCCCCATATAGTAATACATCCCCCATTTAGTAATTCATCCCCTATAGTAATTCATCCCCCATAGTAATTCATCCCCCATAGTAATTCATCCCCCATATAGTAATTCATCCCCCATAGTAATTCATCCCCCATATAGTAATTCATCCCCCATAGTAATTCATCCCCCATATAGTAATTCATCCCCCATATAGTAATTCATCCCCCATAGTAATTAATCCCTCATATAGTAATTCATCCCCCATAGTAATTCATCTCCCATATAGTAATTTCCCCCATAGTAATTCATCCCCCATATAGTAATTCATCCCCCATATAGTAATTCATAATTCCCCCATATAGTAATTCATCCCCCATAGTAATTCATCCCCCATATAGTAATTCATCCCCCATAGTAATTCATCCCCCATAGTAATTCATCATCCCCCATATAGTAATTCATCCCCCATAGTAATTCATCCCCCATATAGTAATTCATCCCCCATAGTAATTCATCCCCCATAGTAATTCATCCCCATGTAATCCCCCATAGTAATTCATCCCCCATATAGTAATTCATCCCCCATATAGTAATTCATCCCCCCATAGTAATTCATCCCCCATATAGTAATTCATATCCCCATATAGTAATTCATCCCCCATAGTAATTCATCCCCCATAGTAATTCATCCCCCATATAGTAATTCATCCCCCATATAGTAATTCATCCCCCATAGTAATTCATCCCCATATAGTAATTCATCCCCCCCCATATAGTAATTCATCCCCCCTATAGTAATTCATCCCCCATATAGTAATTCATCCCCCATAATTCATCCCCCATATAGTAATTCATCCCCCATAGTAATTCATCCCCCATAGTAATTCATCCCCCATATAGTAATTCATCCCCATAGTAATTCATCCCCCATATAGTAATTCATCCCCCATATAGTAATTCATCCCCCATATAGTAATTCACCCCCCCCTATAGTAATTCATTCCCCATATAGTAATTCATCCCCCATATTAAGTCCCCAAGTCCCCCCTGTGTCAATTCACTTACTTTTGCTCCGCGCGTTCCTCTCGCCGTGTTCCCGCGCCGTTCCGGTGTAGCTTGAAAATCTGTCTCCTATGATGATCTGTCCCCCTCGACGTATCTGCGCATGTGCCAGTTTCAGGCATTAGCAGCCGATCGGCGATCTCTGGCACATGCGCAGTTACGTCGAGGGGGACAGATCCTCATAGGAGACAGATTTTCATGCTACACCGGTCTTCAGGGCGGACTGTGAGAGGAGCCTAGCGGGAGCCTAGCTCCGCGGGCCGGATTAAAAGGTCCGCCGGGCCGTATACGGCCCGTGGGCCGTAGTTTGCCCATTGCTGCCCT